TCACAAATATTTGTTATAGGACATAGACGTTGTTGTATTTTGAAACTAATGTTTGTGGTATGTTTCAACTGGCACGTAGAAAATGTTTGCCAATTAACTGGTTAGCCATTTATTAACTAAAGTTATGGTATAGACAAATCATTAGAAATTAAGAGCTCTTCCACGTGCCATTACCAATTCTCTGATCAGTCACCAGGTAGGAAGCATTAAAAGTGGGAGAAACATGCAGCTGAGAGTTCAGGAGTTGGAGGTGGTTATTTTCTAGCCCTTCTAAACAAAATGTTTGTTCAAGCAGTTCAAATACTACGGAGATTTTTTTTTAAATGATTTTAAATTTCAGTTGATTTCTGTTCCATAGGCTAAACCAGGGGTACTCATTTTTTTTTGTCAAGGTCCAAACTTCTTGGTCAAGGTATAGTCAAGGTCCAGACTCCAGAGAAAATAATAATAATAATAATAAAAAACCATAATGATAACAAGTAAATAAAAAGATTCAGTAGCATCTGGTGGTCTGGATTTGGCCTGTGGTCAGCCTATTGACTATCCCTGGTCTAACCTGTCTCTTGAAACTCATAAATTTCTAGCTCATCTCAACTGAGCAAATATTATGTCTTGATTAGGTGAGCTATTAGATATGTTTAGCATTCAATGAAGATATAAGTAGATATGATTTTTCCATGGTTTTCATTTTATCACGTGAGCTTTCCCTTTGATTACCCGAGTGCTCCAAATCTTCATTAACTAAATAGGATGCAGAAGATTGTCATTAGTTTGGAATATAAATCCTGCTGACACATGTAAATGCTTTTCACTTGACTAATTGAAATTTCCAGTATTCGCAAATCCCTGGAAAGCATTAGAATTTTATCATTTATACATGGAGTATGATTTTAGACCATGTTTTTTGAGTATATTATTCTACAGTGATAATTGTTCCCATTTGGCCGGTAAAGAAATTTGACCTGGTATGAGTAGGAATAAAGATGATTATTTAAACACTTGCAAAAAGTTTCTAGAGCATTTTGTGGAAGGCCCTGGTGGTCAGAATCAAGACAAAACACAGTGTCTGAGACACCTTAAACCTCCCTTGCTTTGTGGAGTTGCTGTATCCTGCCACTACAAATTATTTCACAAGAGAATTTTGTGCTCTGTAATAGGCCCCTGGTTCATGTCCCATCATGCTCCAATGCACAAGAAGTTGTTGGCATTGGTATAATGTTAAGAAGCACAGCAGGCATAGAGCGAAGACATGGGAAATGATGACCAGACTTTCAACCCTCCTTGACTTTCAGGGAGGTTTATCATTCATCAAAACTTCTTGGCCCTTCCTCGGTCTGATGGTATATCTGTCTGAAGACTTGGATATGAGCTGCAACTACTCCTAACATCAATAGCACTCATTGTAGGGCTTCCTTTTTAAATTCAGAATTCCTTAAACTTTATAACTTGGTTGCAGA